TGTTCCATTGAATGAAAGGCATGGGTAGTGCACCAACTATTCTGCATGGACAAGAGAGGAAGGAATCGGAGGAGCTGGTGGCAATTCAAGCACAGGCAGCTCCGATAACAAAGACTCCTGCAGATCTAGCACTAAATGAGGCGGACATGATGACGGCAACAAGGAAATTTACCTTCTCGATTGGCATAGGGACTTCAAAACCAACTCTAACTGTTGTGGTTCAAGGTAATCGATCTATACAACAGGGTTTGAAATTGAACTATTACCCCTTATTGTTAAGGATGGAAGGAAAATTGTTAGATAGAACCATATAGAAGTGGAAGAGCAGAATAGGAGATGGAGGACTAACTTAATTGGCTATGTTATAGGTGGATCTCCTCAATTCAAAGAGATGCTGAAATTTGTGTATGGAGTTTGGCAGTTTGTTTCAACTCTACTTCATGATGAATGATACTTTATTTTTAAATTTGAGTATGATGATGGCAGAGATTTTGTTCTTCAAAATGGACCATACACTTTCAATAACAGATCAATGATTTTGAAAGAATGGGAACTGGATTTCCAAATGTGTAAGGAATCCACAAAAATGTTCTAGTGTGGGTCAACTTCCCTGGGCTACCTATACAGTACTGGACAGTGGAGAACTTGGGGAGAATTGCAAGCTCGATTGGGAACCCAATTTGTACTGATAAACTAACAGCACAGAAGGCTAGAATATCTTATGCTCGTATGTTGATTGAGATGGATGTGTCCCAAGCATTACCTGAGACAATGCTGATAAAAACTGCTGAAAGAAAAATAAAGAGCAAAAATTGAGTTATGACTGGCATCCTTCCTTCTGTCAAGACTATCTCACAATAGGTCATGACACATGGAAATGTAATGGCCAAACAGAGATGAAAAAGTACACAGGACCTGATGCCAAAGGACAGATAGGTGGACAGAAAAAAAGGAAAAAAAGAATAACCACTAAATGGATTGCTAAGCCAAAGACAATTGGGGAAGCACAGACTCAAGAGGCTAGAGTTGAGGTCAACAAAGAAGAACCAATTGCACCACCAGTCATCAATACAGAAATAGAGCAGAAGGACAATGATTTTCAGATAGCTAAGTCAAAAGGAAAACAGGTGCAAAGTTCCAAGGAGAAAAGCTCAATGAGAAAGGGTATGACTGATGAGACTATTAAAGCTATGCTGCATAAAAAAAATTCAATGCCCTGGGAATTCAGGAAATGGAGGATCCTAGTTTGGCATCAAAAGAAGGAACAGTACCTTTGGTTCACCCCCCCATGATTATTAGTTCATGGAATATTAGAGGGCTTAATAAAAACCGTGATTATTAGTTCATGGAATATTAGAGGGCTTAATAAACCCTATAAGCAGAAAGAACTCAAGGTTTTTCTGCTTAAGAATAAAATTACAGTATTAGGGTGCCTTGAGACCAAAGTGAAAAATGGAATGAAAAAGGAGTTAGAAGGAAGATTGGGACTGAATGAGAAGTATTCTCAAACTATTCATATGCTCCCAATGGGAGAATATGGATATTGTGGAAGGCTCAGCAAGTATATGTTAATATAATTCAAGCTGGAACTCAATTGGTGCACTGTGAAATCAAGGACATGAATTCAACTTTTAGGTGTTGGATTACTTTTGTATATGGTTATAATAGTGTTACAGAGAGACAGGAAATATGGAGTCAAATTAGACAGATAAATAGCACTATGGTGGAGGCATGGTTGATCCAAGGAGACTTCAATACTATGATATCTGTTAATGACAGAATTAATGGTAATCCAGTTCACCAGAGTGAAGTGGTTGATTTTCAAACTTGTGTTGATGATATTGGTTTAGGATTGTTGAACAGAAAAGGATGTCAATGGTCTTGGTGCAACAAAATAGATGGTACTAATAGTATATACTGTAATATTGATTGGGCATTGGGAAACTCTTACTAGTTCATGTAGTATGGCTATATAGAGGCAGTATATGAGAACTACGGGGTCTCTGATCATTCACCCATAGTATTATATACTGAGATAATTAGAAACCACTTACCAAAGCCATTTAGGCTTCTTAATGTGCTTTTGCAGGAAGATGAATTCAACAAGCTAGTACAAGAGGTGGGGGATCAAAATATAACTGGATACACTATGTATTCAATTTGGCAAAAGCTGCAAAGACTGGGGAGCAGGGCAAAAGGAATGAATAGAGGTTATAATTCAGTAGACAAAAAGGTTGAAATGCTTAAAGATCAGCTACAGGAAGTTCAAAAGAGGATAGATAATGATCTATTCAACAATACTATAATTTTGGAGGAGAAAGAACTACTGATGTAAGTAGAAAAGTGGCAAGGTATACAAGAGAATGTCTACAGGCAGAAGTCTAGGGCAGTGTGGATTACAGTAGGAGACTCAAACACAAAGTTTTTTCATAGACATTTGAAGGCAAGGCAAGCTAGAAACAGAATCTGTACTATCTGTAATGAACTTGGACAAAAACTGACTGATCCTTTATTAGTTGAGCAACAGTTCATATCTTTCTTTGAAGATCTTCTAGGAACAAGGGATTCTGAATTGCCCTGCCTTGATGTAAACATAGCTAGGAATGGTCCTTGCTTGAATAGAGAGCAGCAATTGAATATGATCAAGAGTGTATCTGATTCTGAGATCCTACAAGGGCTTAAGGAATTACCAAGTGATAAAGCACCTGCCATTGATGGATTTCCAGTAGAGTTCTTCAAGAAATATTGGAATATAGTTGGAGAAGAGGTGATAAAGGCAGTCAAGGAGTTCTTTGAATCAGGAAAGCTAATGAAGAATGTATGCAATGCAACTATTACATTAGTACCAAAAGTGGCTAGTCCTTCTTTTGTCAAAGAATTCCGGCCTATTGCTGTACCACTATCTATAAACTCATTGCCAGAATTCTCACTTCAAGACTAAAAATAGTGGTGGACTTCATTGTTGGACCAGCTCAGTCAGCATTCATAGAAGGAAGAAGTATTCTAGACAATGTTATCATTGCTCATGAATTGGTGAAAGGGTATAACAAAAAAGGGATTTCACCTAGATGCATTATCAAAGTGGATATAAGAAAGGCCTATGATTCTATTGAATGGTCATTCTTATAAATGGTACTGTTGGAGTATGTGATACCTACTAAGATGGTGCAGTGGATTATGAAATGTGTAACTAATACAAACTATTCTATATTGATTAATCGTGGCCTCACAAAAAGATTTCAAGAAAAGAAGGAATTGAGACAAGGGGATCCTATGTCCCCATACTTATTCGTCCTAGTGATGGAGTATTTGAGTAGAACTTTGAAGACTCTCAAGGACATTCCTGATTTAAATTTCCATCCAAGATGTGCCAAAATGAATCTCACCCATATCTATTTTGCAGATGATCTGATCATGTGTTGCAGGGCTGACATGATCTCTATCCAACTACTACTAGACAAGTTCAACCATTTCTCAAAGGTGACAGGACTCATGGCTAATTTAGATAAAAGCTCTATCTATGTAGCTGGAGTTACCTAGGGGTTTAAAGAAATTATATGCTCTGACTATCAATTCAAGATGGAATCATTGTCATTCAAGTACTTGGGAGTCCCTTTATCCTCAAGGAAGCTATCTATTCAGCAATGTATGCCATTAGTGGAGAAGATTACAAACAGAATAAAGTGCTGAACATCAAAACTCCTATCATACAGTGGCAGACTACAACTGATAAAATTTTTTTATTTGAAATGCAGACCTACTGGGGGCAAGTGTTTTTGATACCTAAGAAGATTATACAACTAGTAAACTCTGTCTGTAGAACTTTTCTGTGGACAGGAAGTTATAGTCCTTCAAAGAGAGCTTTGATTTCCTGGGACAAAATATGCATGCCTGTATATACTGGAGGTTTAAATGTTATAAACTTTGAATGGTGGAACAAAGCAACACTGTGTAAGCTAATGTGGGCAGTACATTCAAAGAAGGATGCTCTCTGGATCAAATGGACACACTCAGTATATATAAAGAAGAAGGATTTCAAGATTATGCAGACTCCTACCCAAGATTGCTGGCTGGTAAGGAAGGTATTTGATGTTAGAGACTGGTACATAAATATTGAATCCTTTGCAAATATTAACAAGTTTTGCAGAAAGGGACAATTCAGTATACAAAAGATGTACACTCTATCAAGACCTCAGTATCCAAAGATTGGGTGGAAAGCCTTACTACTGGGAACAAGTATCCCTAGACACAAATTTATTACTATGGCTAGCTCTAAATCACACACTTACTACCGTGGATAGACTAGTAGCATGGGACATACAAGTTGACCTTGGATGTGTTTTATGTAAGAATGGAAAGAATGAAACTATGGCTTACTTGTACTTTGAATGTCAATACTCAAGGAGCATATGTGACACTCTGCTTAACTAGATAGGAGAGAAGCATCAGATTGGCTCATGGGAAGAGGAAGTCAAATGGCTGAGTGCAAGAACAAAAAACAGTCAAGCTTATGGTAGTATTCTGGCATTTTGTTTGCAGTAGTAATATACCATATTTGGATAGAAAAGAACATGCGCAGATTCCAGGGAAAGTAGATTGATATGAAGAAGAAGATACGAGACATTGTCCTTCAATTACATATCAAAGGGCAGCAGAAGACAAAATGAAAGAAGTACTTAGAAAGAGTGAATAGTTTTCCTGTATGAAGTTTAGTGTAGTAGAGGAACTATTAAGTTTGTCAATGTTTTTTATAGTTATTTTGAATCTAACTCTTTAGTCCAAAGGAGTTAGGGGTGCTGTAAATTTCATTACTGGTTAAATAAAATTTGATATTTGACCAAATTTTTTTTTTTTTTTTACCAAAAACGTAAATAAACTTGAAAGTGATTATGAGCTGGTTTGCTTAGCCAAACACCCTGTTAATCTTGGCTACCCGTGAACGGCGGACCATCTCAGCACTAAGATTAACCACTCCACAAACCAACCGACAAGCATCAGATCACCAAAGTCACTGTCCTAAATTAAATTTCCCTTAGCTATACCCAAATTCAACTTTCCTTTCAACCCTTTTCTTCCCACTTGCTTACTTTTCAATGCTTAAGTAAGTACACTAGTAGCTTACTCCAACACTAAGACAAAAACACCCTCTTTTTTCTTACTCACAAAGATGGGATCTGTATCTCTGAAAATAGGTGATGGAACTGCCAGATTCAAGAGAGCTTCTTACTGTTCTTCAGCTCTAAATCTGCTTATGCTCTTCTCTGTAGTTACAACTAATCTTTTTGCTTTATATGCTTTTACTTCTTCACCCAAGAACCATCATAATGCTTCTCATCTACTTCTACATACTCACAAGAACATATCTTTGATCTCAGAACAAGTTTCTTTAATCCTCAGAGAGATTGATTCATCACAAAAGAAGTTAGCCCAAATGGAGAAAGAGCTTTTAGGATATGAAAGTATTGATCTTTCTAATTCCAAGATTGCAACTGAGCTGAGAACTTTCTTGCAACACCATTTACTTCCTTTGGGTAAAGATTCAAGAACTGGGATTACTGAAATGGTAGCTTCTGTCGGACATTCTTGTGTTAAATCTATGGATTTGCTGTCTCAGTTTATGAATTATAAGGTTAGTGGGCCCTGTCCTGATGATTGGAGTCTTGGTCAGAAGCTGATTCTTAGTGGTTGTGAGCCTTTGCCAAGAAGAAGGTGTTTTGCTAAGATTATTCCTAAGGTTGGTTTACAATCTTTTCCTGATTCACTTTATAAAAATTATAGTGATAAGATTTATAGTTGGAGTGGTCTCGGTTGCAAGAATTTAGCTTGTTTAAATGCTAAGAAGTTGAATAGGGATTGTGCTGGTTGTTTTGATATAGTTAATGGGTATGAGACTCAGAGATATGTTAAGGGTAGGGGAAAGAATGATTTCCTCATTAATGATGTGTTAGCAATGGGAAATGGTGGAATTAGCATCGGGTTCGATATTGGTGGAGGATCTGGTACTTTTGCTGCTAGAATGGCTGAGAAGAATGTGACTGTAGTTACTGCTACTTTGAATGTTGATGCACCGTTCAATGAATTCATTGCTGCTAGGGGTCTTTTTCCTTTGTATTTAAGTTTAGATCATCGATTCCCCTTTCATGATAATGCATTTGATTTGGTTCATGCGGGAAATGTATTGGATATTAGCGGCCGCCCTGAGAAATTGGAGTTTTTAATGTTTGATATTGATAGAGTTCTGAGGGCTGGAGGATTGTTTTGGTTGGATAATTTCTTGTGCACCAGCGAAGATAAGAGAAGCGCGCTAACTAGGTTAATTGAACGTTTTGGGTACAAAAAGCTCAAATGGGTTGTGGGTGAGAAGATCAATGGATCTGGAAAATCTGAGGTTTATTTGTCTGCTGTTCTGCAGAAACCAGTTAGAGTTTGATGGTATTGCACTTCTCTGTGATCGTCGGGGCATATAAATGGTGCTTCTAGGGGTAGATTTTCTCTTAGAGAAGTTATGCAAGTTCATCATTTGACATCTCATTAATTCCTTTTGCAACATAGAATAAGTGAATACAGTCATCTTCTTTACTCAACTGGTAATCAGCATCTGAAGGAGACTGTTTTGGCTTTATGGCAGGTATCAATATATCTACAATCTGTAATATTATTCACTTATCCTTGTAGTCAGCTAGATATTGAAAGATCCACTTGAGGTTAACGGGAAAATGAACATGGAATCTATTGGAATTGGCTTGAGCCGTCTGTATCAATTTTTTATTTGAGTTTACAGAAAAATGTTTTTTCCCAAATTTCGTTCACAGTCCAGAATTCCAGCTTCAGTTAAATTGTATTATTGGGATATAAATCCTCTCATCTTGTCCCTTGATTAATTCATTTGTTGCTGCCTTTCAACTAGTTATTATTTTCTGATAATCCGTTTTGATATAACTTGTGGTATGCAACTTAGAACAGATGTACTTTCTAAGATGCAATAATGAAATTTGTTTACCGGGAAAATCGTTTACATGTTGTAACAGTAGTTTTGGGGTTAAAGGCAAGTGAATCGAAGATGATCCAAAACCCTTCGTGAGCTAGTTTGATCCGTGTGAACCATTTGAAAGTTTAAGATAAAAAATTAAAAGAACAACAAGATAATGTTTGGGATATCAACAAAATAGAATAATCCACTTTTTGTATTGACAAGTGTTCTTTCTTCTAAGGATCATACATAGAGAGACCCAGAGAGAGAGAGAGAGAGAGCTTCTTGTGTTGTAATGGACGTGGTGCTTAGATTCATTGAAAAGCTAGCTATATAAAACAAGAACCTTTTTTGTGATAAGACCCTTCGACAGTGAAAAAAGGACTATTGAAAAGGCGTCTCTGGTTCAGCACGAAGCTCGATGATGGCTGATGTCAGAGAGTTGGTGAGAATGCGTTCCAGCTAGGGCGGGCGTCTGGATCAAAGGAAAAAGATCCGTTAGACCTGGTGCCATTGCGTCACTGGTCCACGATGTCCTTAATCACTTTGAGCCGGCACCGTTGCTTCGAGGAACTGGTTATCACAGTCTCGGAGCCCCTGGCCAAGGCCACCGACTACGTTACCATCAGTGCCGGACTTCCACTCTGCCCGGACTCCCACCCTTTTTGTACACCTGGCAGGTCTGGATTTTCACCTCATACAGAAATGGCTACAAATATTATACTAATAGAAAGTTGACTATTTGAATTCATTTTGAACTTTATTCCCAAGAAAGGTGTGAGAGGAGGACCCTCCAAGGATATTGACCGTCGTAGCAGTTACTTAGTTAGGTATTATTCTTTTTCTGCAAGTTAGCGTAATCCTCCAAAATGTACGCACCTCCAATTGTTGTTAGATTTTACAGTGTCTTGAGTACCGTCCATTGCCTAGGATTAGAGAATTATGAAGTTATCGCCTCTGGTTTGCTTTATCTATCAGTTGCGATACCAGGTACCTTTCTTATCGAAATCCTTAATTCATATCGATATTTACTGTAGTACATACAAAGGCTAGTTTTTGTTTATCTCATAAAAAGTGTCCAAATCATCATCGTCTAGGTTTGTTAGGAACACAGACAGCTCCATTCTCATCCTAATTGATTAGGAGGAAACATTAGACCCTTCTTTACTTTTTACCGAATGCTAGTAAAGGATACAGGGGAGATGGTAGAAGAGGCTTTCCGTGTCTCTTCTTTGAGTACGGAGGTATATTACAATTCAAACCATGATCTCGAATAAACAAAAGGGTCGATTCATTGTTAGCTTTGCCTTTTTCCTTCATCTGGGGTCCGGGTTGAGGCTAGGATGGGGTACTATAGGGGAAAAACTAAATAATCCTTGTAGCATTGTGCATAAAGTTAATTGAACATGTACCATAGGAGTGGTTTCCATGCACAGGGATTATTGCGCTTTAGCCTGAGGGTCATGTTTTCTTGTGTCTATTTTCAGAAGCTTACCAAATTACTTAAGTTACTGCAGGAATGTGCATACAAAGACTGCATTAAATATCTGCACTTTCTATTCTCTGGGATAGAACAACCAGAAGACAATTCCAATGGTGGTTTCAACTTTGAATTTACCTTTAGTGCATGAAGTGCAAAATCCTTGTACCTGGCTTCGAATTCTTGCATGACAAATGCTTCAAGCCGTTTTTAAGATGAGAAAATTGTGATCCTACTTCACAATCTTCACAGGAAATATAAGGCTTTGGCATGGCTACAATGAACTTGATTAGGCATGATCACACGTTTAATGTTCCCTCTCAAGCTGCTATGTGGAAACCTGAGATAAATTCGAGTTCTTTTGCTGTTTTCTGAATATTGTTTGAGCATACAAATTTACACCACCGCTGCATAGCAGACATACTCACACACAATTTACAACTACTTGCATTCCTATTATTATACACCAGTGGACTCCCTTTGTTATAATGAAGGTGATGTACCTATGGACCTTTTTTACTAGCAGGTACTAGCATTGCAGGGAGTCCAAAATCATCTTTTGCAGTAACCAGCATTGCAGGGATTACAGTATAAACACGGTGCTAATTCACTTTTGAAGTTAATTTGTTGGACATGATGTTTTTGTTTCTTTTTCAGAGGGAGAAGTCAGAAGTGGGAATAAGCATTTCTAAGTTTCACAACACATTGGAGTACATAGTCCTTTCTGAAGCTTATTTTTACAACTGAAATCTTCTAGGATTCTTGGAGGGAGGGATGCCGAGGGTCTATTGGAAACAACGTTTCTACCCCAGGGTAGGGGTAAGGTCTGCGTACACACTACCCTCTCCAGACCCCACTAGTGGGATTATACTGAAATCTTCTAGGATTCCTTTTCATGAATTGGACTAAGAAAATGCCCTATCCAACAGAAGTGACTGATTGTTGCTTCTTCTCTTCTACCTTCCCGGTTTGAAAATCAGTAAGAAAATGAAGTCAATAGGATAAATATCCAACTAGCCATCAGCAGTACTTTTGCAAATAGATTTAAATTAGTAGTAGGCACAATTAGCTAGCAAAGAGGTTTAGCCATACCCACAAGTGGGGTCTGAAAATGATAGGGTAGTGTGTACGCATATCTTAGCCCTACCTTGTAAAGATAGAGGGACTGTTTTCGATAGACCCTCGACTCAAGGATAGAAGAAAAAGAAGCTCACTCTTTCTCAGTCACTCACTCCCAAATAGGTAATAATTTCAAAAGGTTACAATGTAGGGAGAGGTGATGATTTCAGAATAGATAAAACTAAATCAAATCCTAAGAAATCAACAAAATAGGAAATTTACCTATATTGGTGGGCGATTAAAGGTACTATGTGGAATAGTTAAAATGTGCACAAATAAATAAATAAAACAAAAACATAAAAAAGTTTTCAATTGTATCAACAACATGATCCTTGCGGGATCCTTATAACTTAACTTACACTTTATCCAATGTGTTACATATTTATCTATCATATCATTCATCGAAAAACTAAGCTTACATGTATGAATTTTTCTACATTTAAGCACGCGAATGCTCGCTTTACCTTCGTCATTGCTAGGGGTGGCAAAATGGTAAAAAGAAAACAGTTAACCACCCATATTATCCACTAAAAAATGTGTTGGATAATGAACTTTTTAAAAACGGGTCAAATATGGATAATAACCATATTATCCATTTAGAAAATGGATAACCAATGGATCTAACTTTTACATTTGTAAAGCCTCCAATTGAGGGTTTCTTAAGTTAGGGAGACTAAGAATTCTCCCAAAAGTGATTATATGCAAGAAGTCATGGATAATATGGTTACCCATATTATCCGCCGGTTAATCCGTTAAATATGGGCCGGGTCGGATAATTTACCCGTTTTTTCTTTACACGTTTTCGACCCGACCCACCAATTTGCCACTCCTAGTCGTTGCTATAAATAAAATTAATTCACCGCCTTTGCACAAAAATAATTGAAGGGTAATTTCCTTAACTAACTCAAGAGCTTCCGAGCTACATGTTGAATCATCATAAAAAATAAAGAGGATAAGTAATACGAGTTTGAAGACGGCAAAATGATTCGAGGCTGTTCATTTCATTGCTGTTCCAGGACTACCAATCGGCCATCTCATTCTTTCCTTTCGCCCTGTCCGGTGAGATTTCACTTCTAGAATGAAGTGAAGAGATAGGACGAAAAATGTTGACAATGCCTTAGCTGAAGGACTCTCAAATTTCTAGTAAAAGTCACAAGTACATCAGGATGAACACATAAATGTTAAAGATTCACAGAAATGAAATGCAAAGCATCTCATACAAAATCCTTGAAGGAGGGGTCAGGTGGGGGATTTGGAGGAGGAAGTAAGCTTGAGCATATGATAAATTTACATGAAAAGTAGCTCTTTCTACATTTATCTCCAAAATAGTTAATATCCATGGGATGGCTCCGCCACGGAGATCCTAAAAGCATATGACCACCATTAAGGCATTCTTAAGCGCCACAAAGAAAGTGATTCATCTCTGCCATTTCCTCTCTGAAAAAGCAGCATTAACACAGTCAACAAAAGATTACATGTGAGAATTTTAAAAAACTTAATGTCAAGAATCTTAGTGAGCCAAATTGTGATTGACAAGAAAGGAGTTTTTGGAATTTCATCTTTTTAAACCTTGAAGCAAGTGCTCACAGCCACAGACTGGCACAAAATAATTCACAGGTAAAGTCCTCCAGACCCCTGTGGTTTTCAATTTGAAAACATGGGGATAATTCAAGTATGGTTGAAAATCAGTTATTGGTCTCTTGCATGTGTTGAAGGCTAAGTGAATTTGACCCTACTATTTTATAACAAAGTGGACAAGCAATGACCAAAAACAAGAATATTATGATCGGAGTTGAGCAAAAAAATAAAAGCCAGGTACATGAAGAAGGGTTAGGTTTGGCATTACAAGTGCTGGAATTGGCAAAGGAAGATGGTTTTCCATTTGACTGACATTGTTACAGTTAATGTTTTCTCCCCTTCAAATTTTGATCAGTAAAACATTGTTATTATTAGTTGACACGGATTTGCTATGCTATTTGTTTTTAACGAGGACACTTTCAATTATGATGATACCACCTATGTTGTGCGGACTCTCCAAAATGCTGCCGCACTTATGTCGAATCCTTTAAAAATGCACTAGTTTTGGAGGATCCAACAAGCACCCGGAGTAATTTCTGGAGAGTCCGAGCAACATAGGATACCACATCAATACATCCTCATAAGTTAACATGGAGTAGTCCTAGGAACATTACATTTGTTTCTCTCCTTTGGTGTGGGGCTGGGGGGGATCAGAACAGGTCAGGTGACCAGGATGATCATTCAAACAAACACCTCCATCAGAAAGGAACGCACTTGCCAACTTATAGCCCTTTGTAG